AAAGCCTACCGATCGAGAATTGTATTTTCAATAAATCACATAGGTTTCATTTCTTAATCTCAGTTAGGAGCGGAGGAATGAATTTTCAAAAGCACGGAGAAACCCGAACGGCTTTCCGACGTCGAGTGAGCCCGGAGGGGCTCTCCCGAGTGGAAAATTCATTTCTCCCCCCCTAATTAAGATGAAGGAATGAAACCGATGCCGATCGATCGAGAACTGAATTCACAATGAATGACGGCGGTTTTATTCCTCAATCTCAAGTAGGAACGGAGGAATGGGTTTTCAAAAGCGCGGAGAAACCCCGAACGGCTCTCCGACGTCGAGTGAGCTCGGAGGGGCTCCCCCGATTCGAAAATTCATTTCTCCCTCCCCCCCCGCCCAAAGAGATTAAGGAATGAAACCACTGTCATTGTTTGAGAATATTATTCTCGATCGATAGATGTTGCGTTCATTGATTCTTCGCAATTAGGGGGGGCGGGGGGAAATTGCATTTTCCAATCGGGGGAGCCTCTCCGGGCTCACTTGACGCCGGAGACCCATTCGGGGTTACTCCACGCTTTTGAAAATTCATTCGTCCGCTCCTAACTGAGATTAAGAAATGAAACCGATGTCATTTATCAAAAATACAAGTCTCGATCGGTAGGCTTTGGTTTCAGTCCTTCATCTCAATTAGGGGGGGGGGGGAGATATGAATTTTCCACTGCGGGAAAACCCTTTCGGGCTCACTCGACGTCTGAGAGCCGTTCGGGGTTTCTCCGCATTTTTGAAAATTCGTTCCTCTGCTCCTAACTGAGATTAAGAAATAAAACGGATGTCATTTATTAAAAATATAATTCTCAATCGGTAGGCTTTAGTTTCATTCCTTCATCTCAATTAGGGAGGGGAGAAATTAACTTTTGAATGAGAAGAACTTGTTCGGAGTTACTGCACGCAAAATTCATTACTCCTCTCCTACTAGAGATTAAACAATGAAACTGCTGTAATTTATTGAGAATATAATTCTCCATCGATAGATATTGCTTTCATTCTTTCATCGTAATTAGGGGGGAGAACTGAATTTTCCAATCGGAGGAGCCCCTCCGGAGAGCCGTTCGGGGTTACTCCGCGCTTTTGAAAATTCATTCCTCCGCTTCTACTTGAGTAGGATATAATAGAATTTCCCGAAGATTCCAAAAAGCTTCATTGTTCTTCGTGCATGAAAAATGGGGATCTTCGAGAAACTCCTTGCGATCGCGAGACTTTTACCGATTTATTTTTCTCTATGTGACGTCCGTATAGAAGATCAAAAAATCAATTTAACATTGGGATAAATGGAGTGGAGAGAAAAACGTGAATATCTCGGAAAATAGATGCGACAAAATGGGCCCTTTTCACGTGGACGTACACATATAATTGGACTGAAATTTATAGAAATTTTTAATTTGCAATAATGAAATTCCTTAAAATTTCCGTATTACGGCAACGCGATAAAAATTCCCAATAAGTGTTCCCGGAATTTCCGCGAAAATATTACTGAAACCTACAGACATCATTCCTGAATTCAAGACTTTCCTTTGATTTTCAGGATCATGTCACTGAAAATGTTTTACAAAATGACTTAATTTTAACATTGCTTGCTCACTGCATTTCAGAAATGCAGCTGCCTAAAAAAGACATCGATTCATAGGAACAACGTTTATTTTTTCTCGGTAAATACAGACAATAGAGAAATGTCAGAGTGGAATTCCCGGATTTTTTTTCACTCTCGATTAATTTTTTAAAGATTCAAATTGATACTTGATTCATTCACATCGTTCCATTCCATCGGGAGATATTGTCGATTGGAGACAATTTTTTATGGTCACTGAAGGANTTCAGGATCATGTCACTGAAAATGTTTTACAAAATGACTTAATTTTAACATTGCTTGCTCACTGCATTTCAGAAATGCAGCTGCCTAAAAAAGACATCGATTCATAGGAACAACGTTTATTTTTTCTCGGTAAATACAGACAATAGAGAAATGTCAGAGTGGAATTCCCTGATTTTTTTTCACTCTCGATTAATTTTTTAAAGATTCAAATTGTTACTTGATTCACTCACATCGTTCCATTCCATCGGGAGATATTGTCGATGGGAGACCAAATGAGACCAAATGGGATTTTTTATGGTCACTGAAGGAGGCAAACCATTCATCTAAATGTCGCAATAATCTGCGAAAAATCTTATTCATTAATCTATTATTATTGAATTAATCCCATTATGTGTACATCGCTGGAGAACAACGAAAACGTTCCAATCGTTCAAACGAGTTGGAATGTTTTCTCTCTTTTTCTTCTCCATTTTCTTTCTCACTCGCACTCGCTAAGTTTGGCGGAGGACGGGCACGTGCCAACGCGACGGAGACGACAATGAGTGGGAGCGAGCGCGATACATATTCCTTTCTCACTCAGGGGGGGAATCAATATATATAATCGAACATTACTATCGTAAAAAGAAAAACAAAATCTACACAATTATTCAATAGAATCACTGGAATACTATAGAGTTTTCCAGCGACAGCGCTGGGATTTTCTGTGAATTTTATGACGTACGTATCAATAATAAATATGTCGAGAAAAAGGAAAAGACTTTTAGATCATTAGATTCTGCATTCATTATATAATTGATTGTAATATGTTCGATTTTACATTCCTGACAATTATGACAAAATGCGAGGAGCTAATGCATTGAGAACCCACTTCCGGTTATCGAGAAATTTATACTCAGGCCATACCACAGAGATTATAAGGGAGATTGCTAGCGCCTATGGAAACGCTTCAACCGCAAAATTTTGTAGCGGTGGCGCAGAACTAATTTTGAGTACGTACCTGTAAGTAAAACAGGGAGCGTGTGAGAGCGTCGATAACGGCGCAGAGTGGGGGGGAACGCGTATGGGGGAATCGGAAGGCGGAGCGAACGGTGATGTTCGCTGTCGAGTAGGTGAGGGAAACCTACCGCAGTTCGAAACGCCGACGGGCGGCGGAATCCTGCCCTTAATATAACAATCAATTTCTCCTTCCCTAATGAGGACGAAGGGATGAAACGGTTGCCAATCGATTGAAAATTGAATCCTCAACTGATTGCGATCTGTTTTATCCCTTCATCTGAATTAGAGGGGGAGAAACGAATATTTATGGATCGAGTGAGTCCCCAAACGGCTCTCGCCATTGAAAAATCCATTTCTCCTCCCCCAGCAGAGATTAAGGGATGAAACTGGTGACAATCGATT